TAAATTATTTAATATTTTATTTAATTAATTAAAATTGACGTATATATATATATATATGATAAATTATCTTTTTGTGTAATTAATTAGTATAATTTGTCGATATTATATTAGATACCGTACAAATAAGGTACTACAGTGTTTCTCATATATTTGTATTGAGGAAAAAAAGAATTTGTGTCCATTCTCATATCCATGCGAGATTGATAGTAACTTTAATTCTCATATTTTTATGAGTTTAGTGTTTATATACTCATATTCACACTTGTTAGTCTACCAACATTTAACTTTAAATATTAATTAAATATTATTATAATTAAATTAAAAAATTTACTCTTAAATTATTTAAGTACAACATAAAAAACATTCAATTAATAAGACAAATAGAATAATTGGGTCGGCTTAGTAGTAAGAAATTGAAAAAATATGTGTCATGTTAACGGTACATTTTCAACATAATCAAATATAAGAATCGGGAAAAAAAAAAGACTCAAAAGGAGTTTGAAAAGGATAATTAAATAAGTAACAAATAAGGCTTCGAACATCGATAAAGAAGAAGTTCAAAATAAAAAATTTGTCAATTTTTAGCAATTAAGTAAATTATAGATATACAAAATTGATGTTGAATGATCATTGTATGTTTTCTTCTTCAAATACTCAAATTGAGATATGAGTTGAGGTGTCAAAAACATTTTTCACAAACTCTTATGTATCACTTTGCCTATTTTCTCATGATTTTCGATTTTGATGGATGTTAATATGTATTTTTGTACCAACATATTCTTTTCTCTTAATATTATATATATATATATATATATAAATATATATATATTTTGAAAACACAAGTATATTATTATTAATATTATACGTGATAACAAAGAAAGATTTTCTTTATTCTCTTTATTGTCTCCATTGTTAATAATTACAATATGATTTATTCAATTAGTATTAATGTGAATCAGTTGATTATTGTAACAATTACTTAATATAACTCAAATCTCATTATAATGATTAAAACTTATTTAGAAATTATATTTATTAAACAAATTTAAATAGAATTTGTTAGTTTTAATATAAAAAATTCACTAACAAAATTCACTGAAAACAAGTCTCGAGCTCTAATGATGTTGCTATCGTTATGATTCTTATAAATAAAAAAATAAATATTAAATTATTCAAATACAAGTCATAACTCATAATCAAACAACATTAGAATCATAATGTTATAAATATAATGGTATAATATAATAATTCAAAACTTGATTTCGTATTTATTTATTTAATCAATAAAAAAACATTACAGTAACAAAAATATGGATCAAACTTAATTCTTTGTGCATCCACTTCAATCCATACTAATTAGCTTATATTAATTATATGTTGCAAATATATTAAAAAAAACAAAATACAATGACATGCAAATTAGTAGATTAATTTACTTCATTGTCAAAATTATATTTTTCATAATAATGAAAATGTTTATCTCCCATATCTAAATATTATTTTGAACTTTAGGTCTAATAGCAATTATAAAGATTAAAACATGTCAAAAAGACTAATTAAACAATAGAATATAAAAATAACAATAAAAAATACCAATAGAAAATAAAACAATTAAATTCAATTGGAATTATGTAATTTAAAATTTTATGTCAATTCGATAATATAATATAAAGTATTTTATTTAAATAATTATATTATATATAAATAGAGGTGGAGATGTGAAGCGGTGAAAACTATAATATTCGTACCTCTACGCATTATGTCTCATTTAATTTTATGGGTTTATTTTAATCTCCATCCTATCCATTTTATACATGTTTTGACATTCCTTATTGATAATATTTTTTGGGGTCACCCGCAGAATTTCAATAAATCTCCGGTCTTCACATCTCTAATGTTTTGTCATCACCAAATCACACTAATGTCTTATGCAATTGATATAAGAATTAACTATAAATTAAAATTTTAAATTTAATACTGATTTTATCATTATAGCCGTAGGTTAGGTTGATGGATAAAAATATTATAGTCGTAGTGTTACTGATCTTTGAGGAAACAATGCAGCTTGTATTTAATCACAAAAAATAAAAATAAAAAAACCAGCTGAAATGGATGTTTATTACTGGTCCAACTATTGAAAATGAAATTTAGACTCTTATTTATTTAAGAGCATCCCAGGTTAGAGTTTAAGACTTAGGAGGCAATAATGCAATTGTTTGATTTCACTAAATTATAAAAATAAACATGAGATCATGGTTTTTTCTTATACTGTAAATATTTTCTACTAAAGTCAAATTTATTTGAGAAGGAGAAGATTATCAAGGATGTTAAACTTTTTTCTTACAGTATTTAACGTATTTGTAGATCAAAACTCAAACTTAAAATTATTAATTAAATTATAAATATAATATTATAGTCATACTAATACATGTATTTTTATATCAATAATTTTAAATTAAAACTTACAAATTTATTTAAAAAAAATAAAAAAAATATATGACTTATTGACATATTTGATTGATTGAATTTGTATTAACAAAAATTTATTGAAGGTATAAGATTTGACGTTAGTTTTCAAATTTGCACTCAATGTTAACGGATATCAACTTTACATATATAAGAGACTATTTAAGTGAAAATAATTGTTGATATGAAAATATGAGAACAATTAATGACAATCTTTAAATTAAATGACTTAGGTCAAAATATTACAAATGAAATTACCACATACTACTATCATCATAGTTTTTTTCCATATTGTCGTCACCACTTTTTATTGTAATTGTCACTATCCCATCTTGATCACAATGCCACCACATCACTATCATCCTTGTTGTTGTCACCTCTGGTGTATTACCACCAATGTCACCATATTTCCCATCACAACTATAATTGTTATTATTATCACCACCACTATTATTATTGTTGTAGACAATGGTGGTAGCAGTGACAACGATAGTGGTGATGTGGTTGTGGTGCGGTGAAAATGAAGGTGACGACATTGGTTACAATAATAATAATGATGATAAATATGATAGAGAGAATTATGATAATAATAATACATGATAATTTTATTTGTAATATTTTGATCTAAGTCATTTATTTTAATTTAAAGATTATTATTAGTTATTTTTATATTATCATATTAACAAATGTTCTCACTTAAATTGCGTTCTCTCTCTTTATGTATATATATATTATATAAATTTCAATAATATAATTATTTTGTATACTATATAAATTAAAAATAAAAATATTAAGATAAAATTAATTAAATAATATCCCAAACTTTGAATGCCCTAGACTATTTAACTAAATTTAAATAAAGCCAATGATAAATTAATGAAATTACAATAATTAAATCATAGAATTGATTTACTTTGATTCTTAAACACCCTAATATATTATTTAGAGCAAACATTAATTTTAGTCCATAAAATTAAATTATAAATTAAGTTTCTTAAAAATGTGATTTGATAATCATATCAATGTGTCACTAAGGTATATATATATATATATATATATGTCAAAATAATGATAAATAATTAAAATTATTGATTTATTTATTATTTTAAGATTTTTTTTACAATTTTTCTTATTTTAAGGAGTAATGCAGTAACTATTTCAAAGTCCAAACAAAGCATGTTACTCTTTGTATTTATACTGATTAAATATGTTTTTAACTTATTAAATTAATTTTAGTGACTAAATTTTTTTTTATATATAAAATTTGTTGATATTAGAGACAGAAATGTTAACGAAAGAAAAGATTTATAGAATAAAAATGAAATTTGAGAAAAAATTAAATACTAAAAATTAACAAAAAAAGAATTGAGGAAGTAAAAGTAAAAATAGACAAAAATGTAATAACAAAAAATATATTTATTTAACATTATTTATATTATAGATGAGAAGGGTAAAATGGTAAAATGGGAATGGCGTTTACTGCTAGCGTAAATAACGGCCGAAAAATGGGCACTTTGATTACCCGAGAGGCCCATATCGTGACAAAGAAAAGCTTATTGACGAAAAAAAAAAGTAAAAGATACGAAAAAGAATTAAAAAAACTGGAAGAAATATTATATGGGCGGATTCGAAAGCAGTTTGCAATATGGTTTTATAAGAGACGTTGAGATCCGGTTCCACACTTTCTCTCTCTATCCCTTTCATTTTTCTCTCTCTCTCTCTCTCTCTCAAGGTTCTCTTTGTCCCTTATCACCTCACGTTCTCACTTTCTCGCCCCATACAGGTTTTCCACCAGCCAAGGAACGGATAGAAAAACTTTCAGAGGCACCGAGGAGGGAGAAGACACAGACAGACTCACACACTCTCAGCTCCACAGACTCACGAATCTCGCTTCCATGGCCTCACTCTTCCCTCTCAATCGCCGCCCTCTCCTCTGAACTCATTTCCTCTCGCCGCTACCTTCTCTCCTCCCCGCCGCCCTCGCCGGAGCTCCGCCCGAGCCCTAGGCTGCCGCGATTCGCCTGCCGTCTGCGCTTTCTTCTTCGATCTGTGGCCGTCGCGTGCTTCAGCTCCGCGAACCCTAGATTTGTGTCTGCCGCGGCGTGGTTTGCGTTTCCGTGGGCCCTAGGTTTTGTTTTCTGTGGCTGCCCATGCTATTGGGTTGGTTTTGATGCCGCCGGAACCATTGCCTTGGGATCGAAAGGACTTCTTCAAGGAGAGGAAGCACGAGCGGTCGGAGTCGCTAGGGTCCGTCGCCAGATGGAGGGACTCGTCGCACCACCGCGACTTCAACCGCTGGGGATCCGCCGAGTTCCGCCGCCCGCCAGGTGAGTCTCAATCTTTATGCTCTTTCATTCCGAATCGCTCGCGTTTTCTTGCGGGAAACTCGCTCTCGGGTTTTGATTTTTCTTTCTTCTTGGGAGATGAGTTTTTTAGTGGTTTATGGTTTGGTGGGATGCTCTTTTAGGTTTTTGATTCTTGTTGGTGGTGGAACTCGCGTTGTTTTTGAAGATCTGTGTCTGTAGTTGATGTTATCGGAATATTTTAGGTTGTTTATAACTTTTAGGCCTTGAGAGGAGGGGTTTGTATATTCTGGAAGGTTTCTGTGTTCTTTTTTGCTTCTTTTTTGTTGTTTATGCTTATTTTTTCTTTGCGTGCGAGAATATATACTTTGCTTTGTGTTGATTTTTCTTGTATTTTCTGTTTTTGTTTGAATATTTTCTGAAGGTCATGGTAAGCAGGGTGGTTGGCACCTGTTTTCCGAGGAATCTGCTCACGGGTATGGGATTTCTCGGTCCAGCAGTGACAAGATACTGGAGGAAGACAGTCGGCCGTCGATTTCACGGGGCGATGGGAAGTATGGCAGGAGCAGTCGGGACAACAGAGGACCCTTTGGCCAGAGAGATTGGAGAGGGCATTCGTGGGAGCCCAACAATGGTTCTCTAAGTTTTCCCAGAAGGCCGCCGGATGCGAACAACGACACGAGGGCTGTAGATGATGCCCTAGCATATTCCTCCCATCCGCACTCTGATTTCGGGAACGCGTGGGATCAGCACCACATGAAAGACCAGCATGATAAGATGGGTGGTGCCAATGGGTTGGGAGCAGGTCCCAGATGTGATAGGGAGAACTCTCTTGGAGACTGGAAGCCACTTAAATGGACCCGATCTGGGAGCTTGTCCTCTCGCGGCTCAGGGTTTAGCCACTCCAGTAGCTCAAGGAGCATGGGAGGAGCAGATTCCCATGAAATGAAGGCTGAGTTTCAACCCAAGAGTGCTGCAGCTAATGAGTCACATTCAGGGGAAGCTGCTGCATGTGCAACATCATCTTTGCCTTCTGAAGATGCCACTTCTAGAAAAAAGCCCAGGCTGAATTGGGGTGAGGGACTTGCAAAGTATGAGAAAAAGAAAGTTGAGGTGCCTGATACAAATGCAAACAAAGATGGTCCTGTCTTGTCTGCTGGTAACACAGAACCGTGTAATTTCCTCAGTCCCAGCTTGGTAGAAAAAAGCCCCAAAGTTGCTGGATTTTCTGAATGTGCATCTCCTGCAACTCCATCTTCTGTTGCCTGCAGTTCCTCACCTGGTATGTTGCGAGACACACTGTTTAAATCCCAGTGGAAAGGGTTTACTAATGGATGTTACTAATATCTGTTATATCATGTGTGTATAGGATTGTAGTGAATATTACTGTGATATCAAGATGTTTATCTGCGTATTGCATACAGAATTCCAGTGGAATAGGAGTCAAATATCTGGCATGACGCAAGACAATTGTTTGTTTCTATTTTGTTTACTACTTTCTGGTTATTTAATTGCAATTTCAAAACTGGATTTGGTAGCTTTGCTTCACTGATTTTTTTTTTTTTTTGCCTTTATACTCTGTCTCTTACCCTTTTAAGTCGTGTCTCTTCAACAATAATGTTTTTTTGTTGTAACGGGTTTATTATTTTATTTAAAAAAAAGGTTAAATTAACCATTTGGTCCTTGAAATTTCCATTTATTTTCAATTTACTATCCCCCTACTCCATCTTCAAATCAGTAATTACACTTAGAGAATATTCAAAGCTGTTTTAACAAACTTTCAGTCGATTGACTTTGCAAGTGTTTCTTTGTCCACTAGGTGCTCCTTTACAGGCATCTCTCCTACCCTCCTCTCGCCCTCTCCCCCCTCTTTATGTGTAAAATGTCCCATACGTGTTCTTTATTAGCTCCTTTTTCTTTAGTGTTCCCCAATAGGCACTCTCAGGTACTTAAGTCTTTTTGAGAACGTGCTCTTTTGTTCAGTATGTGCTCATTTAGATTTTTTATTATTATTTTTTTAACTTTAAAATGTTCAATATGAAAAATGTCAGGTACCATTTTTGAAAATGTTTGTACATGCCATTGATTTGAAAAGAAAAAACTTCCAAAAACTAAATTGTTACTGGGTGGAAACTATAGGTTTTAAACAAATTTTTTTTTTTTAAATCGTTCATTGATTTATCAATGCAGGTAAGAGTTGACATTTCAACAGTTGTATTGCTGCCTTCAGTTTTTGACTAATGTTGGAATGACGTTTCTTGGACACTTATTGTATTCCATCTTCGGTTTTAAATAATTACACAACTTGGATAGGAGCATGATATGTAGAAGAATTATAATTCAGGATATTTGCAATGGACATATTTAGATTTTGAGATCAATATCCAATTGATGGATTAATTCCTCAATTGGAAATAAGTTTTGTCTAGTTTACTGTCCCATTTTTTCTTTTAATATTTGTTTTTTTGACAACATTTAACTTTGAGCTTAGATGAGAAATGCTAAGATTTCCCCCTCAAATTTCCTGTAGTTGTACTGTAATTGTATTTTATTTATATATGCTACATGAATCCCTTTATGCATTATTATTTATTTTCCAAATCCTAATCTCAACCTTTTAGCAGGTATGGATGATAAATTATTTGGAAAGACTGCAAATGTGGACAATGATGTTAGTAATTTGACTCTTTCACCTGCTCCTGTGTCTGAAAATCATCTGCAGAGGTTTTCTTTTAACTTAGAGAAATTTGATATTGGCTCCTTAAATAATTTGGGTTCTTCAATTATTGAGTTGGTACAATCTGATGATCCAACTTCTGTGGATTCTGGTCCAATGAGGTCCAATGCAATTAATAAGTTGCTGATATGGAAAGCTGACATTTCAAAGGTGTTGGAGATGACTGAATCTGAAATAGATTTACTTGAAAATGAATTGAAGTCGCTAAAATCTAAATCTGTGAATACATGTCCATGTCCAGTAGCCTTGGGCTCCCAGATGGTAGGTAGTGATGAAAAATCCTCTGAAGAGCATGTTGGAGTCTCTGATCAGGTCATCCGACCAGTACCGTTGAAAATTGTTGATGATCCCAATGTGAAGATGCCTCTTTCAACTAATTTACATAGTATTCATGAAAATTGCAAGGAAGAGGATATTGATAGTCCTGGAACAGCAACTTCAAAATTTGTTGAGCCTCTGCCTTTAATTAATGCAGTTTCTTGCGATACCGGTGGATATGATAATTTCTCCAGGGACTTGGATGCTGTTCAGCCCACAGCTGTGAAAGGCCTAGTTCCCTGTACTACTAGGAAAGCTGCTACTGTATCTGCTTGTGTTGATGGCAATACCTGCATGGAGCAAAAGGATAGCATGGATGTTTTATATAATACAATTATTTCTTCGAATAAAGAATCTGCTAACAGAGCTAGTGAGGTATTTGCTAAGTTATTGCCCAATGATTGTTGCAAGATTGGGAAGATGGGAGCCAGCAGTGACCCATGTACTCATACATTCATTATGGAAAAATTTGCTGAGAAAAAGCGATTTGCAAGATTTAAGGAGAGAGTTATTGCACTTAAGTTCAGAGCCTTGCATCACCTGTGGAAAGAGGATATGCGTTTGCTGTCCATTAAGAAATGCCGACCAAAATCTCACAAAAAAAATGAACTTAGTGTGCGAACTACCTGTAATGGTAGCCAGAAGAATCGATCTTCCCTTCGATCTCGTTTTCCCTTTCCTGGTATGGATCTTTCTCTGTTTTTTTACTTATGCCAGTGCTTTGAAGTCTTCCTTTGCATAATTAGTTCTGCTAGGAAATCATGTTTTTAGATTTATTTCAGATGGCAATATGTGCTTGTTAATGTTTGTAAAAAAGAAGAAAAAAGTGGTTAATTTTTCTGTTGTAGTTTGAATTTTTGAAAAAGAATCGTTGGTTCATGATGGTTTTGATTTGCTCATATCCTTGTTAACTCAATGGTTATTAATCAACTGGTTTTATTCATTAATTCAACAAATTTTATGTTGGCCTGTTTTACATCCTTCTAAATTTAATTTTAATTATTGCAGCATTAGTTTGATACCATTGTGCTGTTTTTTCAGCGTATAGGGATGTAGGCAATGGTACTGTCGAGTTGTTTCATTGAGGCATTTACTAACAAGAATAGGAGTAATAGTAGGTTGTTAGTGTAGAAAAGAGTTGCATATAATAGTGATAGAATAAAATAATTCCGAGGTTAAAAAACACAATCATGGGGAATATATATTTTTTTAAGTGTCTAAAAATTTGATTTTATTTAGCTATGATTAAAAAGCCTTTTTCAATGTTAATAATGTGCTTTTTAGTGTCATTTTAAACGTATAAATTAATGCATCTTAGAAATGCATAGCAAGATACTTTTAATGAAGTAATCAAGGGTGCAAGTTTTTTTGGAAAGAATATGAACAATTGTCATTTGTTGATGATAGACAGAATTTTTTGTACAATTTCTCTCCGTAACTTAGAATAGATCAAAGGATTGTTCAAATTCTCTTTTAGTACGATTGGTTGCTTTACTATTTTTTTTTTGGTTTGGTTCCAATATTTTTGGAATCAACTAATGCTCTCGCATTTGCTGGCAAACTCCACACTGGAGAATTTGCTGGTTAGTCATGACTATTGTCAAATCTTATCTGCAAGCTAACTTTGTTGTTTGCAATCAATCTGATCATGCATGACTGAGAAGTCTGATGTTTATGGTAATTTCTCTTGTTAATAATTGAAGAAAAGTAGTTTTCCAGTGAATTCAATCACATGTCTTCTAGTTTAGAACATTTTTCAAATAGGGGTTGACTTTTTTACATGAAGCTGGGCGCAGGGGGTATTATTAAGATGATCTCTGGCTAGCTTAATTGATGTAATCTAACTTTCAAGATGGAATTGTTTGTGGCACTAATTATTAAATATTTGACTTGAGCTTTTATACCTGATGATCAGAAGTTAATGCAGCATGGTGATATGTTTCATTATGCAACTCTACTTGTGAAATGGTCATGATCATAGTTCATAGTTGTCTGTTCTATTGTTGATACTTGACCTTGTAGGAAAGTCCAAGTCTCCTTAAGAGGCCATACAATTAGTTGAATTAAAGAATTATGAATATACTTGTTTAGTTCTTAAAACAACTTTTCGGGGCAAGGGCCATTTTTCTCTGTTTCCCCACTGCTGATAGAAGGATGGGAAGATGGTAAGGAATATGGGGTCAGTTTTGATTGTAAGGAATATGCTGAACAGCTCAACACTCCTTATTCTGCGAGGGGTGACTGAAGCTTAGTAATAACTGCATGCCTGACTCCTTCGATGTCTTGTTCCATGACTAGTCACACTTGTTGATGTTTGATCTCACCTTTTATGAATGAACTTCCCTGTTCAGTTTTCTTTGTAGGCTTCTGCAGCCTCAACATGGATGATAACAATTTAAATGTGTTGAGAGGTTTTTGACGGTGAAATATTTTGTTTGGTAAAGTCAAGTTGAATTTGTCAATATGATAGTGAAAATTGTCAGTAATTTGGAGTTTCTATTTCAGTTTATTATTATGTAGTTAGGTTGCCAATTCTTTGGGATTTAGGGATCTTGGTGTCGCAGAAGTCATACCCTCAATGTTGAATGCTTTTCTCTGTGATGTTTTAAGTTGTTGCATGTGACATATTTTATAGTTTGTTCATTTCCTATTTTATTTGTCTTTTTGTTCATCTCCTCTTTTCTCTGTATGCAGCAGGAAATCAATTAAGCTTGGTTCCAACATCAGAGATAATTAGTTTCACTAGCAAACTGCTTTCAGAGTCCCAAGTTAAAGTGCAGAGAAGCACCCTGAAGATGCCATCATTAATTTTGGATGAAAAAGAGAAGATCACTTCAAAGTTTGTAACTAGTAATGGGCTGGTTGAAGATCCATTGGCTATTGAGAAAGAAAGGACTATGATTAATCCTTGGACATCAGAAGAGAGAGAAGTTTTCTTGGAGAAATTTGCTGCATTTGGAAAAGATTTTCGGAAAATTGCTTCTTTTCTCGACCACAAGACAACTGCTGACTGTGTTGAATTCTACTACAAGAATCATAAATCTGATTGTTTTGAGAAACTTAAGAAGCAAAATGTTGATAAGCTAGGGAAATCGTTTTCAGCTAAAACTGACATGGTGGCATCAGGTAAAAAGTGGACCCGTGAATTGAATGCTGCTTCACTTGAGATTTTGAGTGCAGCTTCACTGATGGCAGATGGCATTGCAGGTAATAAAAAAATGCGTGCAGGAAGCACTCTTTTGGGTGGATATGGTAAAGTAAAGGCATCAAGGGGTGAAGACTTCATAGAGAAATCAAGCAGTTTTGACATTCTTGGGGATGAAAGAGAGACTGCTGCTGCAGCTGATGTATTGGCTGGTATATGTGGTTCTCTTTCATCTGAGGCTATGAGTTCCTGCATAACAAGTTCAGTTGATCCCGTAGAAGGTAACAGGGATAGGAAGTTTTTGAAAGTGAGCCCTTTATGCAAACCGCCTATGACACCTGATGTTACTCAGGATATTGATGATGAGACTTGTTCAGATGAGAGCTGTGGTGAAATGGATCCTATAGATTGGACTGATGATGAGAAAGCTGCTTTTCTTCAGGCTGTATCATCTTTTGGGAAGGATTTTGCAAAGATAGCACGTTGTGTTAGGACAAGGTCTGAGGAACAGTGCAAAGTTTTCTTCAGCAAGGGTCGGAAATGCCTTGGCTTAGATCTCATGCGCCCAATACCCGAGAATGTTGGATCCCCGGTGAATGATGATGCAAATGGGGGTGAGAGTGACACAGATGATGCATGTGTTGTTGAGACAGGCTCAGCAGTTGGAACTGATAAGTCTGGTACTAAAACAGACGAGGACCTGCCTTTGTATGGCATGAATACTTACGTTGATGAATCCAATCCTGTTGAAGCTAGGAACCTGTCAACTGAATTGCATGAATCAAAGGAAACTAATGGGACAGAAGTAGATCTTGAAGATGCAAATGTAGTTTTGGATGTTTGTGCAATTAATAGTGAATCTGAACGGGACAGTAGACAAGCAACTATAATTATGTCAGATAGCACAGAAGTTGGAAAAGATAAAGCAAATAAATTGGGGGGTGAAGCTTCAGAATTGATATCTGCTCCAGATGTAAGTGAACCATGCGAGAGTAATTCTGTTGCCGAGGATAGAGTGGTGATTTCAGAGGTTTCTTCTGGTGGTCTTGGAAATGAATTGGAGAGGCAAAGAGTGTCTTCACCCTCATGTCTTGATAGAGATAATAAACATGAAGCTGATTCAGGTGTCATGGCTGATTTAAAAGGCTCTGTGCAAGATTTAAGTCCTATGGTAAATGCTTCATTCCCATCTTTGGGCAATTCTTGTTCAGGATTGAGTTTTAGTCCTGAAAATAAGCATGTGCCCCTTGGAAAGCCTCTTGTCTCCGCATTGACCATTGAGGATCTTCGTGCAACTTCAAATTCATTGTTGCAAAATAATGTTGCTGCTGATGTTCAATGCGAAAAAACAGCTAGTCAAGATCGACTGTCCTCTACTTGTGATATTCAAGGAAGTAGAGATGTGCACTGCCAGAATTCCGTTAGTAATGGTGATCATCAGCTCCCTATTACTGGGAATTCATCAGACCATATTGATGCTGTTAGCATCCTTCAGGGCTATCCCTTGCAAGTTCCCATTAAGAAAGAAATGAATGGTGATATGAATTCCAGCAGTTCAGGAACAGAATTGCCTCTTCTGTCACAAAAGATTGAACAGGTCGATGGTCATACCAAAACACTGCAGTCATCAGATTCAGATAAAACATCCCGAAATGGTGATGTGAAACTGTTCGGGAAGATACTAACCAATTCATCATCCGCACAGAAACCTAGTGTGGGTGCTAAAGGAAGTGAAGAAAATGGTACCCATCATCCTAAGTTAAGCAGCAAATCGTCTGGTCTGAAATTTACTGGCCACCATAGTGCAGATGGGAATTTGAAAATTTTGAAATTCGACCGTAGTGATTATGTTGGCCTTGAAAATGTTCCCATGAGGAGTTATGGTTATTGGGATGGAAACAGAATACAGACTGGTCTCTCGTCATTGCCCGATTCTGCCATCTTGCTAGCAAAGTATCCAGCTGCCTTCAGTAATTATCCCACATCTTCTGCCAAATTGGAGCAGCAACCATCACTGCAGGCATTTTCGAAGAATAATGAACGGCTCCTGAATGGTGCATCCACTTTTACGACTAGAGAAGTGAATGGCAGCAATGCCGTGATTGATTATCAGATGTATAGAAGGGATGGTCCAAAAGTGCAGCCATTTATGGTAGACGTGAAGCACTGTCAAGATGTGTTCTCAGAGATGCAGAGAAGAAATGGTTTTGAAGCAATATCAAGTTTACAGCAGCAGGGCAGGGGGATGATGGGAATGAATGGTGTGGGAAGACCGGGGATTGTTGTAGGAGGGTCATGCAGTGGTGTCTCGGATCCTGTGGCAGCAATCAAAATGCATTATTCCAATTCTGGTGGTCAGACTGGGAGTATTGCAAGAGAGGATGAATCTTGGGGAGGGAAAGGGGACTAAGGCAGGTAGTAGGATGTGCTGAGCGGCAAACACCTCATTTTGCCGCGCCCTGTATTATAGTTTTTGTTATTGCTCAATACAGTGTAGGGTGATTTAATGGTTCTCAAGCCCGTCTTTTTTGGTAAAATATTTAGGTGCTTGTAATATGGCAGCAGCTTTGTATTTGTTGTATTTGATGAAAATACAGAAATAATCTCTCAAAAAGTTAGGAGGGGCGATTGCCATTATCATTGCCAATTCTGGAATTCTAACAAATCACTCCTTACTTGTCTGGATATTTGTTTTGACTGTAAGTGAGTAGGGTTTAAGATGGTTGGTTACTTTTAACTCTACCCGTAGTTGCCCTTTTTGGGTCGTGACTCAGCAGCGTGTATCTGTTTCTCACCAACAGGTTGAGTGTTTGAGGTACTGTTTGTCCTGCGTCCATTCTGACGAGTATAGTATTTTTCCTGTAGGGATCTGCTATATAGATCGAGACATTTTTTTTGACAAATACTGTTGGATGAATTCTGCAATCTGTTACTCCTGCCTTCAACAATTATAAAAGTCAAACCAATATTTTAACAAGTATATTGAGCAGTGGGATGTCTTTTTCATTCGGTGTTTGGCCTTGTCTTCGCGGAGAATTTCACAACACAAAATAAGTTTTTGTTATGATAATGAACACAAAATAAGTCTTTGATATGATAATGAATACTGCATTCTAGCAAATGAGTTTAATACAAATAACGTCTTCAATCATAGGCGTTTTAAGTAGTGTGGGAATAAATGTTACCAAGCAAAATTGAACAGCAACGTCGTCTCTTGGTTTGTTATCATTGTAGACATTCTTAGTTACATTGCACGAAGGTTTCCAAATTTTCTCGGATGGATACAGGGAGGGCAGTTTGTCTTCAATCTGTAGAGCATCTTCTTGAATCCATCTTCTGCAAATCGCTACAGCATTTAACGGTCAACCAACTTTAACAGCTTAAGCTGTCTGCTGCATACTGGCACTTTCCTTGACCTCATCTGGTGTCTGTAGGACCGTGGGTAGGGGTGCAATGATTTCAACCAACTGCATAACATGGGAAAAAAATAAAATTCTTACTGTTTAGAGTTATTTTACAGGCATCCACGTATGATAATGAATAGCATAAATGAATAATGTAATTCTCTTGATTAATACTTCAATATACCTCGTTAGTTATTGGATGAGAAAGAAATAACTTATGTGCATGCAAGTGATATCCACAATCTCCAGGAACTGGTTTGGTAGGCCTCTGGTAACCACTACAAAAGGAGCAGCAATGTGAAACTTGGATCAAATTTCATACAAATATTATTTTTTATATATTTAATTACAACATATTGAACAGTCAAAAGAATTTAAGTCAAGGGATAATCTAATTGTCATCAAATGTCGGTCAAAATAGGTATAAAAAAATCAAGTTGAATGCATCAATAGAAAGTTTAAATTGAACACTTAATTCTAGCAGAGGCTTGTTTGCCCGCATAATAGAAACATACTTCTATGTAAATATCAATGCCAAGATAGAAACAAACAGCCAAGTGCAGGAAACAGTTTACATTCCAGAATACCGTACTTAAAAATTTGCTTTGGATTCTTTGGAAGTTTCTTCAGTTAGTGTTTAATTTGCAAGTAAGATGAGGGAACGTTCATTGCATAGCACAACTCGATATAATTTAATACCGTAGAACATGGTATTGAGCAAATGATTGAATTATTCTAGTAAACTATAATGCAAGCATTTACCCATCTTCAGCAAAACTCTCATCTATAAAGTCACAATCTAAGCATTTAGGTTGCCCATCAACACCATAAAGAGGATCTCCTGCAAATAAAAATCATACATGTAGTCAGACAAGACTCACGAGAAGAATGGGAGTGCCATCATTAAGCACATTTACGTAGAAATAGGAACGTCCATGCATACTAGTTAATATGGATAGGATTTGAGATATCAAAAGATCTAGGGAAATATGCTGTTTAGCTATTGTATCATCATGTTTAGAAATGAGTTTACGCAATCCATATGGTGTATGAAAGAAGCCCAAGTTCTGAAAGAGACAGATTCCTATTTAAAAGTTTGATTTGAATAAAGTAGAACCAAACATAAAACAAGATAGGATAATCAGATCCCTAAAACCTAACTAAACAAAGGACAAAATATTCTTAAAAATCCCCAAATCATAATCACGAGTTAATAAATTGAAGATAAAAATGAAGCAAATGGAATATTATCATAAAAAATAAAGATTTACTTCAAAGATGAGGGGTGAATAGGGATGGCAAAAATACCCGCACCCGCGGGTATCTGCGGGTAAAATCTGCTACGGATTAAAAATAGACTAATTGGGTACCCGTAGATAATGAGGACGGATAATTTTTTACCCGTTTATAAATGGGGCGGGGGCGGGTATGATGATATTCATACCCGCGGGTACCCGTTTAATAATATTTATTAAATATCCTAAATATCTTTGTGATATAAGACTTTTACTTACTTGTAAGATTAATGTATTTTAAGTTATTGATTATCTTGCATTTTTATTATTATTTCAACAAAATTAACGTTAAATACAAGTTCAAAATTAACATTGAAGTTTTATTTTTAATATTTCAATGACATTAAATATAAACTCAAAATTATTTGTAATATGATTTTTTTAATTTCTGAAAAAATTTATAAATATCCATGGATATTCGTGTGTATTCAAGAAATTCATGGATACCCGCGCGGATATGGGGTGAGTATGGAGCCAATTTTCATCCAGCGGGACGGGGACGGGTTTACTATTACCCGCCCCCACAGGGCCCCATTGCCATCCCTAGGGGTGAAACTGAATGTTTATTTTACTATTTTAGCCATTGAAGAAGTTAAAGGCTTAATATGCATTGGTGTTATTATTGGTTAACTTATAATCTTAAAACCTTCCTTATCGTTGTGTTCATCTTAAAGAAATCTAGCTTTATTTCTCTTCATGTGAAGCACCATGAATGATTTAGCATTAAATATTTACCTAACAAAGGATGCCCAATGAAAGAAAGATGAATCCGGATTTGATGTGGCCGTCCAGACTGAATCTTAACCTGAATAACGAGTCAACCAGGGGGGGTGTTATGAGTCTGGATACAAGCAAAAGTTTGGGTAGCCAAAAGGTTACACGTTGAAATAAGAGCAAATAATTTTGGAATGACCATTCCTAGAGTGCAGTTTGATGGGACATCAATGAATATTAAACATATCTGAGAACAGCGCAGTTCTGCAATTTTTTTTTAATTTTTTTTTATAAAATTAAACCCATTGTAACGCATAATAATATTTACCCTATTTGTACAAATTTAGTTTCCTTATTTCTTGTAATTAGGATTTGTTATCACTGTATCTGTATTTCCAGTAATATGTACACAGTACACAACATACTTGTACCCTATTTATACTTTAACATTGTAAAATCATCAGAAAATAATATTTACTTTTGCTCATATTTCAAGTAAATCAATGTTAAATGATGTTTTATAAATGATCAAGCAGTAAAATGATGGTATTTTCTGTTAATGTTTTTATTGATAAATAGTGGTAGTAGATAGTTTAATTATTTCCTTTTTACCCTATTGCATGTCATCTTTTTCTAGGATCCTAAGTTCACATGACTCATAAATAATGGGGTGAGGGTCTAGAACATCAAATTCAGTAACCTGGACCAATGTGCTGTTTTCTTGGATGTTTCTCTCTAGAATTTCCACTGCACTGAGTGCTGGTTTTCCTGGTTCAATGAAAACAACTATGCATGACTGGATAATCAAGAATGTTATGGAAGGCAGTTTTACGAAGAAGAGGAAACATTATAACAGAAGCAGATGAGTGGAAATCAATAAACGTAAGTGTGGCTTTCCTTCTGAAACCCATCTGAGAAAAAGAAAAACATTAATGATTAAAAATAACCTGATTGAGAAGCAACGTATAACCCTTTAGCAACACCAGGATATTTTACTATTCCAATTGGTTGATTAATAGTCATCTGTAAAGTAAAACAACCTTCAGGTTATACAAGCAAAATTGTACAGACTACACAATCAGAGCATCAAAATGTTGTAAACAAGCATGAACTAACAACTTAACAGTCTTTTGATCTTGATATTACAGGCATTAGTCATGTTTGATATTCAAAGAACAACAAAATGAATCATGCTTGCTCATGTAGTTACCATATTTTAGAACATTGTCTAGCTCATCTAGATTCTTTAATTGACAAGCTTTTCAAAATTATAAAAAATTTGAATCATTGGTTCTAGACTGACATCTCTCAAAATCTACCAAACGGTCAGTCTTATTCTTCAAAAAAATAAACATGGAAAGCATACTATTTCCATGGAACTTCCCTACAGGATAATATAGCTTCTAATGTAATCCTCTGTTTGATGCTGACTCGGCTTGCTGTTTTTACAGCTATTAGGTAGTTAGAGAGTTAATTTCAGTATGCTGTCAATGTCCTAAGTCCTAACTATAAATGCATCACACATACTCTTTAGTTCATTCAGTTATCATTTAATAACAGAATTCTAAAGCTTTTTCTCTCTAAACATTTTCTTACTTTCTCACATACCATTGCCTTTTGTCATTATGCCTAAAATAATTTGTTATCACACCAACTACGTTAGTTTATTTTCAAAAAGCATGTATGATTGTAAAATATAATTTATAGAAGTGAAAAATCTCCTGTAGTATAAAATTAATTTAAATATTATTGAAAGTTCTTGCAGCTGTCTAATTAATACTCATTAATCATTATGAATAGGCAAAATGAAATATCTACACTTTCTTAATCTCATATACCATTTTTTTACTCGGGGGTGGGGTAGGGACTATGTCACTATCACCTTATCATTTTCCACAATCCCACTCACAAGTGCTCGGTATATCTTTGCAATCTTCCCAATTTTCTGGTTTGTATCTCTGCTTCCATAAACAACAGTAGACCATCAGACCATGAGTTAAAGTTAAACAAGGTAAAACAAGTTACCTAAGTATGAAAATTTTAACTTCAACTTAAAATTTAAAACAATTTTTTCTGTGTTCTATTTAAGTGTCTTCTATGTAAGATGAGCAACAGGCAACAAGGTAAAACTTTTTACAAGTAAATTATACAATGCAACAAACCAAAAATATAGTTCTTTCCAAACCTTTTTACTCCAATGTGAGAAGTTCCATCAGCAAAATAAGATGCAAGACGAGCTCTAGCTACTTTTGTCTTTGCACATAATAAAATGCCTGTGGTGCAATCAATCAATCATAAAAGCATGTGAAGTGTCATGAACTAGTTGTTTATAACATTAGACGGGTATTTAAAGCATGATCTAGTCATACTTGTATAACATCTTTGGTAGTAGTAATAATAATATGTAAATACTAAATACCACTATCACTTGTAGTTGAACAATCAACCAAGAAAACTAAATAATTAAATTTGTTATAACTGATAACCAAGTCATATGAAAATATAACTAAATTCCACTCACAGAGCTTTGAAACTTACCTAGGTTCATGCATAAAACAATTTCAAAGCAAACTAAGCAACAGATTACAGATAGAATCGATCAATTTCAGTTTTCAACAGAAATATTTGGTATAACCTGAAGTTCCCCTCCCTAAGCGATGTACTGGAACAGGATGAGGCCTTTTGTGCATTTCACATGAACCCTGATTGTTGCATTCCCATTGAAGCTGTGTTAAAACTGTCCTTTGCTGGAAGAGACCTCCAGGCAGAACTTGCAGGCCAGAAGGTTTATTTAAAGCAATCTGAATTCACAATCAATATCTCAATCAAGAGAACATATAATGAAGACATTCTAATCGCCTAGTACTTGAATATTATATTTTGGTACGGAGAAGCAAAAACTGTGATTAACATTGATTGAAGGTACCCACTCAGAGTATTCAGCCACAAAAATAATAAAAAATATATATCAATTAGTTAAGAGATAACTTTCCATCTTATGTTTCCCTCCTTATGAACCAAACATATTCAAATTTTATTACACTAACACACAAGTATAATGAAAATTGAACTTCGTCATTAGCATTCTAAACCACCATTAGCAAATAAATTAATTTCAAATCTTTGATCTAAATAATGAATATAAGTAATGGTCATATAAAACAAAAACAGTCATAATGGTGCATAAAGTAACACTAACCATGTCATCATCTTCATACAAGACTTCAATCATGTGTGGTGCTTCCGGTTCCTTCCAGGGGAGTCTATGATAGACTAGCTTTGAGGCAACTCTAATATGAAGAAGTTAGCTAATGTCATTTAACGGAATAAAAGCACACATTACAAAGGATTACAAATTTTAATCAAAGAACCTGAGGACTGTGTCGGAATCAGTAACAACACTTCCATCAACTGTTATCTGTAGATGACACACTTATTAACATGACAAATAGCCATTCAGATGATACATTCCATGTAGTCAACTATTTCAGATTCGTTGATGATCAAACCTGCCCACTTTTTATACGCTGCAACCAACTGTTATTAAATCAGTACATTAAAAAAAGTATGAGCAGAAATCCAAATAGATGCAAAAAACTACTCCATCCCACAAAAATTGCAGCGGAAGAAACCGCTGACTAAGAATTCATAATTTCACTTCAATGGTCTCAATGTCTCATAGTTGGCAACACCTAATTGGTACTCCAATTGAATTAACTGACAGTTTAATGTACTCATTTTCCCCAGCTCTTAGACAACATCGCTAATTTTCATGTAACAACCTTTGGCCAGGTCATGGGTGTTTGTTATCAATGTCAACCTTTTCTACGGTTCTCAAAAAATCAATTTCAAGTTCCCTTTTTTTTTTTGAAAAAAAAAAAAAAAAACCTACCCTGTTGCTTAGTCCCCATTTTCCTTCACTTGTGAACATATGAAAAGAGAAAAGTTTCAATATTTAAGAGAAAAAAAGTAAGTGGGTAGTTGAGGACTTAAGCTTACCCTTGCAAGGGAGCAGAACTCTTGTAGTTGGTGGAGTAAAACTGTAAGAGCGTCAACCCTGAAAATTGTAACAACATATAATAGAATTGAGTTGCAATAACCAAATCCAAAACAAAAGAAAAGAGAAGGAGTAGTGAACCAGCATCAGAGGGTGAAACGACGTCGTCGTAGGAGAGACCGTCGTTGCAATCAGGCCAAGGAATTCCAAATCTCTTGCGGCTCGCCATTGAATTCTCAAATACGAGAAGGACGTTAGAGTGATTTATCAATCAAAATTAATGTATGATAAATATTGGATCATCTTCGCTTATTTACAGAATATATCAAACTTATTCAAAACATTCATATTTGTTCTTTTCGATATTTTTCCCCCTTTTAACTAGTGTATGAATTTTTTTTTAATGTATGATATTATGATAATAAAAATAATTTTAAATATATATTTAAGTATATTTTTCCCTCAAAATATTTTGCCCAATCCCCCCAGCAATGTAACATTGAATTATTACCTGTAATCGACTTTTACAGTAAATTATATTTAACATAATTTCTAATTTTTTTGAAGGGAACATAAATTCTAATTATTCTATAGTATAAAAGATTCTATATCAGCAATATATAAAAATTAAATTAATATTGAATTAAAATATTATTTATTAAATAAAAAATGTTATTATTAACATTACATTATCTTTCAATCATAAATTATTATATATGACAAATGTATTCATTTTGATATATTACATTTAGATTATATTATATAATTTTAATTAATTAATAGTATAATTTTTTTTACATTAACTAAATACATTATTATTCTCTATTACAAGACACTTATAACATAATTGCAAATATTAATATAAATATTTATTTCAATTTTTTTTATTGATTTTTAAATTATGATATACAATTTTTATTTTTATTATTTATCATTAAATTATAATATGGGAAGTAAAAATAATACCTGATATCAAAGTTTATTTCTTAATTTTTTTTCTCATTATTCAATGCAAAAATCACATATACTTACAATTTTTAATAGAATTAAAAATAAAATAAAAATTAATTCCTTATAGAAGTTATAAAATATTTTGCAAAACAGACTATCATTTTCTTTTAAAATGTATCTTATAATAAATATCAGAATGAATAATGCATAATTAAAAATGTCACAAATAAGTACATCATTATAATTTTTTTAAAACAATTTGAATAACTCAAAATATAACTTCAATCTCAACCAACTGAAATTAATTTCAAACCACATTAAATGAGTGAGATAAGACATTTTTTTTTTTAATTTTCATGTTTAAGTCAAACAAAACTATTCATAAATAACAAAACTCTCTAGATAGAGAAAAATATTATTTTTACTAGTCAACTAAAGAAAAAGATTGAACTTACATAATAATTATTTTAAGTTCAAGAAAGTATACATCTATTTGAAAAAACAATTGATATCTTATTTTTAAATAAAATATTAACAAATTAATATATATATATATATATATGTATATAATTTTACATAGAATAATTTTCACTTGATTTTTTTATAAATGATAACATATTTGTTTAATATTTTTAACATGCAGTATGCACAAGTTGTATAGGATAAATTTTGATGTCTTTCTTAAAGATCTCTTTTTTATAGCTAAAGCCTCAATGGAACAATTATGTATCATCAGTACCATTTTTAATGATTTTTAATTTGTTACTTTGAGTCAAAAAGTTCATTTAACATGTCTACGGATCTTGTTATCTCCTATAATGGCCGAGTGCTTTTGAGGGAGATTAAGATCCCAATCACTAGTAAGAGTGAAAAATAGAAGTATTTATTCACCACTTTTGATTGAAGAAAGATCCTTTATCACTCCTAATGGACAAAGTTTGAAAGTGTCTTTGTGTGTTTATTTTGTGGGTTCCTGAATTTCAATGCGTTTAACCGAAAAGCTTTCTCACAGAATTTTTCCTTCAAGTGAAGAAAACAGAAATACAAATACACCCCTACCGGTTTAAAAGTCATCTCATTATCATTTGCAAGACAAGTTACCCTCGCTACAATGTTATTAAACTTTGTTTGGATTGGTTGGTCGAATCATTGGAACATGAAATTGAACTTATAGTTGGCATAACTCGAGAAATTTTTAGATAAGCATAATGCACAACTTCATGTAAAGTCAACTACTAATTTCTTTAAGAATTTCTAATGAGATCACAGATAGTTTATCATATCTCTAAAATAAGTCTACATAAAATGATATAAAATACAAAAAAAGTTAAATTTGAGCTCAAATTTTAACTAGTAAAAACAAGGAGACTTAACAAACTATATCACACAATCACCCTTTTATGGGCTATCATTACACTAGTTGATATATTCATGTGAAAAATATAATTTATATATATTGACTTATGTGGTTCAAACAATGACCAATAATCTGAGCTAACGATGAGTAAAATTTTGATAACACTGTTTGGACTTACGTTTATTGTCATGAGTTTACCAGGATATAGTCTGCAAAATTGCAAACAACACATTCATTTGTGCCTTTGTGACGAAATAGAAAAACCATGTAGGAAATTCATCTGAGACGACTCTAATAACAAGCAAAAATGTCATCTTATTTCCGAAGAAAAGATTTGTTCTCTTAAGTTTGAAGGTTCTACGAGCTTTCGAAGTCTTAGAGACCATGATACAATTTGCATAATTAGGAAGAAACAATCATGTACCTTAAGCCCACTCTCCACAATGGCAACTTACCTCTGCTACAACTTGGGCCCAGAAATGATCATGCACCTTTCGAAAGCTACAAAAATACTGAAGAGGTTTGAAATTGTTTCATTCACCCCTAATACTGGAGCTTGTTCTTTAGTTGGGGGTTGCACTGATGGGTTACAAATAACACCTTAGGTGAAGCTTGTTTTTTAGTTGGGAGCGTTTAATACATGATTTTTTTTTAATGAATCTGAAGGTGAAAAAAATAGTTTTTCACATTTGGTTTATTAACTAAAAAATAATAAAATGTTTTCCTTTATTTTTCAATTTAATATAATAAAAATCACTGATCTCAAGTAATATATATAAATATTTTCATAAACCTTTATAATTAACTAAATACATTTTAATCATTTTATCAAAATTTATAATTCGGGAATAGAAAAATTCCCTTCTACTAAACATCTCCTAATAGTAAGTTATATGATGGATGGAGTACTTTATTAGCAATAGTAATGTGGCTTATTTGGAAACAAAAGGAAGAAATGAGTATTTTAGGGTAAATGTCAACTTTTGCACAAGCGCAGCCTAGTGGCCTCAATACAATGTCAATTGTCAAGTGAAGTTCATCACCAACAATTTTCCTCACCCTTCTCCCCTAACAGCTAACAGAAGCACATGTGAAAAAGACTCATTACTTGGTAGCCTCCTACTCACATTTTTACTAAATTAAACATGGATACATTAATTAATATGTCAAGTGCTCAGTATCTTGCTTAGGACTTTTTTGTTGACAGCCTAGTGACATTCATTAAGGCTTAGAGTTGTATCATATGAAGGTTGAATTTTGGGATCTGTTGTGTATGGTATTTATGGTTATTGGTAGTGAGTGGAGTACAAGCCTTTTGACTAGTATGAAGCATGAGTCAAATTATAATTTTAAGGTATTACTATTTTCCCCCTTTCTCCCCCCTTGGATATGGTTATGGTCCTTACGCAAGAGAAGAGGCTTGTCATTTTTCTTTTCCTAGGAATAGAATGACTCCTTAATTGTGTTTCTTTGAGCTTATTGCTTTATTGATCATAAAAAAAGGAAAGAAATAAATCACAATATAATATATTAAAAACATTATTGTTACCGCTTTTAATAAAAATAAAATAAAATTTTAACGCCTCAGCCGTTGCCTTCAAGAATTTTCTTGAATTGGAGTGTCATTCACTCCCCCTAAATACCTTAAAGATGAGAAAGTGCCTTGAAGATAAGATAACAAAACCGTGTTAATTATACAAGACTAAAAAAAAACTGCTTTTCATGACTCAGACTCGTTCGTTAGCATGTGCACGAGACCTAACTTTCTGCTAATCGACTCAAATGCCAGCGAATTTTCGCCACTCAAGAAATCGAGTTATAATAAAAGGGAACACCATTTAATCAAATTTTATTATACATGTAAGTTAACCAATCGCTAAACCAACATAATATTTATATATACCTATAAAATGTAAATTACCCCAAACTTCCTGTCGGTCTCAAATTCATGATTTCTCTCCATATAAATACATTATATCCCAACATTCACCAAATAATTAACTCTAATGGTTTAGCAATCAAGTTAATCTGGCAGTGAATAAATCTCAGAAAAGTTATGAAAGAAATTGTCCACATATATAAGTCTACTACTCAATATCATTAAGGAATACAGTCATTGCAATATTTCCATGTTCACATTCTTTCCCTATTTCCAGAGCATAGTTGAGAATGAATTGATGACACGAGCAAATAAAGCCAACACTCACTAGTTTTGCATTGGCTTTTTCTTATTTATGTTTGAACATACTTGAGAAAAAGTAAATAAGGAAAATAATCTAAGTGAAAAAACATCAATACTTTTATTATTGCCAACTGAGGCACTCAGAGTGAAATGGGAGCACCAAAAAAGTTGTAACAAATTACACTCAGAAGAGAGACAAATTACACACACACAACATATAAATCATCAACCAAATACATCAGTTGATGAAGTTGCTGCCAGCTGAAGAGAAACTGCATTCCAGTCCACAGCATCACTGCAATGCTTGTCTTTTGTTTCAGGCACTGGTAACTGGATTGGACCAACACCAGAGGTTTCTGTTATAGACACCTTTCTTGCAGCAACTGCTTTCATCCTGTACCTTTCAGCTCTTGAACCAATTACTTGGCCTAACACTGATGCTGCAATAGTAAATGCCATAGCTGATTTAGGCATTAAGACAGACTTCCTTAGCATTCCTATGAATGGAACAGCTGCATGGACTGCAGCAAACCATGCTGGTGAAAATTTCTTAGTATGTTCTCTCCATATACCCAATGGAACATTAGCTGCCATGCCCAGCATCCCAATCACAAGAACCTTTGTAGGCAGGTTCTGAGGGCGGAGGTTCTTTGCAAATGCAGTGCGTGCTATAGCTGCCCGTGCTGCAACCACAGCTGGTGGGCACTTGTATTTTATCCCTGGAGGAGGCTGAATAACCTTTGCAACAAGTGGAAGGACGTTACTAACTGCACGGTAAGACTTTGCGATTGGGCAGTTCCCATTTTGCAGCCAGTCATTACCTGCCTCGTGCTTAGAACCATCCTGAACAACAGTTAAATGCACATCAGGGACATTGAAAAAGTAATCTAAATGATGACTAAAATTTGTACTATTTTTAAATGTTTCGAAACAAAATATCTTGGTTATTCTCTTCAATTACAAGATTTCTTAGCCCTACCCACCCCCTTCCAAAAAAGAGGAAAAGGAATAATCAAGTTAGGATGCCCAAACATTTAATTTATAATTTTAAAACCTTCACTAGAGAATTTTCTTATGGAAAATGTCTTGCTAGTGGCTAGAACAGCAGATTGAATGAACTATATATACCTTTGATGAAGGTTCATTTTTTGATGATTTGGATTTTTTCTTCTGGTTGTTCCATTTCTCAGAAAATGCATCAAAACCGAAATGCCCACCAAATCCAAATGATGACAGACTAATAGTTGCTGCCTTTGCAGCTAAAGGATTGAATTGGGATTTGGGAGGCTCTGGCTTTACTTTCTCTGAATGCCGAAAAGATCTGTCAGATAAGGGTACTACACCATCACTCCCGTGAAAAAGCCTAAATGCCAAATCAAAATTGGGACCATCTTCAAAAATTGGACCTTTAGCTCCACGAACCTGTGTAAGAGTTATTTATTTCATAAGTATGCTGATTGCTATCAAGATTAATAACAGAACAGGTAAATGGTGTGCTTGAAAGTCCCAGAACCACATATTACATATTATGACATATAATAATCTGTAAGGAACAGACACATAAAACATGGGGATCAGAAAACATAATTTGTTCCTTGAGAAAGAAACTTTAGTTCACAATAGACATCTTTTGGCCTGATTCAGCAGATAGATCTAAGAAGAGCAAGATATGACTAGAACCATTCCTAATAAACATGGCCCAGCCTTGATAGATCTAAGAAGAGCATGGTGATAGACATCATTCTCCACAACCATGGATAGTGATAGCAAAACCCATACATGCAATCTAAAGTAAAAGATAAAACGAGAACTACGTCAACTATGGAGGAAAGCTTACAGGCATTGATAAAGCCAAAGGTGAAGAGAATGAGAAGTTAGTAGGCTCATTGATGTTCCTCAAGAATGGACATCTAAGCATGGAGTCCTCATTTATGTCTCTAGTAAAGAGGTCCATTCTTGCTTCAAATCTGACAGACCTGCAATAGGAGGGAAGGCATACATAAGATTACTTCACGGAATTGAGAGTAAGAGACACAGCAAGTTCAAATTCTCATAATTCTCACAAACAAAGATAATTGAAACCTTAAGACTGTAAGGTCAAAAACCTTCAAAATCAGACTAAAATTCTGAAATTTATCTAGTCGAGAAAACCAAAGACATGCACACAAACCCTGAAGTTCAAATCAGGATGATTCATGATTCAAAACCTAATACAACACTAAATCCATATCATATCATGGGACAAAATCCAAAAAAATTCATTTCTTTTTTCATAATTTTTGCAGTCCAGGATAAGAGAAATAACTCAAAGTTTGCCAAGACTTGAAGCTTGGACCTGAATTATCCCTCAACCTCCTTCTCCACCCTTTGTCATTGAATAAAATAAAGAAAGCTACAATAAATATCAACTAGTGACCAGATATTTAAGCATGTTGAGCATTCCAACTTCCCAACAAGCATTGATTCACAACCCCACTGGTCCTATCATCAGATTTATCTGTAATCTTCCGCATCCCTAGAAGTCAACTCAAGGCAAATCCAATGAAGTTCTCAGATTCAACCTCCTCACCGCTACCCATCATGAAAATTTGCACAAACAAACAAAAAAAAATGCATAACAGCTCAAACCCATCAGAAAAATTCGCCTGTTAATTCCAAAAGGACTAAAAAATCGAAACTTTCCGACGATAGCACCACACACACAAAAAAAAAATCACAGGAAGAAAAAAAAAAACAAAGGAGGGATGAACCTCCCAAATTAAAGACGAAAAAACTGGATCGAAATGGCCTCAAGCGCAGAAAGAGAGAATGAAGGAGCAGCAGCAGAAAATAATGGAGAAAATATAAAGATCAAAAAAGGAAAAATCTAAAGCATTAATTATAATTATGGGAATAATACCTTTGAAGGATTGCAAGAGGCACACGCCAATTGGAGAATGGGAGGAAGGAAGAAAGGAATGGAAAGAAGGTGTTAGGTGAAAGAGATTGAAAATGTTAATTTGCTAACAGTTGCACAGAGAAAAAAGAAGCACACAAACTCTTCTCTCTCTCTTCTTCCTAAATTATTATTGAAATTTGGATTTATGACAACAAAATTAAAAGAAACGGAGTCAAATGTGGCTGTGGCTGTGGCCTACACACGCCCCAAGCTAACCAAAGTTGAATACCATTTATGCATGTTGGAAAATCCACTCATATAATATTTTGAATTTAATTTTCACATATCTCCAGGATAAACATTTCAATATTACCAACCAATTACAAATTATTTAAGATATTTTCCAATTAATTATTCAAGATATCAAATAATTTTTTTAATTAGATAGCATTGTGAAATGTACAAGATATTTATTTATTTTATATAATTAAATTTATAGTAAATAAATATTTTATTATATACATTTTATTACTATTGATTAAAAGATTATTGTAATAAATTAAAACTCATAATAAATGAATAATTTTAGACATATACATTGCATTTTAAATTTATAAGAAATAATTTATATTATGATACAAAATTATTTTTAATTATCGATAAATTTTAAATATTAAAATAAATATAAAATTATATATTTAAAAAGATAAAAAATAGCTAGAAAATTAATTAAATATGAAAATAATATATTGACATAAATAAAAGCTTAAAAATATAAATAGTTGAAATAGATAATATACAGATTTTGAAGATAATACATATTATATTTTGATATTCAGTTAATAATATATTGTTCATTTGGTATGAAATATACAAAGAGATATTTACATGTTAAGAGAGTAAAATTTAATTCTTTGTGAAAAGATAAAAGTATTCATATGAAAATGAACATGAGGAAGAATGAGAATAATGAAGTGTTTATAACATAGAAGATAATAATAATAATAATAATAATAATAATAATAATAATAATAATAATAATAATAATAATAATAATAATAATAATAATGAAAGAGAGATAATTTATCATTTTTATTTCAAAAATTAATTTTAATTTATATATTTTCTACAAATAGCCATTGGTTAATTTTTGTATTAAAATATAAATTATTTATTATAAAATTAAAATATAATTTATATGTTAAAATATTTATTTATTATAATATGACTTGTATATTTATTATATATTTTAAATTATATAAAACTAATATTTATGCATTTGTTAAAAACTTAAAATACTAATTTATTATTAACTGCACTTCTATCATAGGAAAAAATACACTAAAAAAATTAAAATTAGACTATAATTCATTTTTTTCAAATCATATTTTTTATATGAAAATTTATACAATAATTAACCTCTGTCAAAATCTGTCTAATCATTATTAGTGATGTTTCTTATTTCAACATTTTTTTATCCACGAAATTTAAATATAAGACCTTAAAAAATTTAAACTTGATAAATCTCAAATCAACTACTTATTGATAATTATATTCTATAATTGAAACTATACATTCATTAGGTAATTATTTTTTAAGATATTATTGAAAAAACCATTAATATGTTTTTTATATTTCAAAGAGACAAATAATTTAAAATAAAAAAATTTCAAAGTGAAAAATAAAATGATATTAAGGAAGAACATCTTAAAATTACAAATAACAATTTAAAGTTTTAATAAATAAATTACACAAGATACAAAGTGCATCTCTTACTTTTCCCATTTTCTCAACTTGAGTTTATTAATATTTTCTTCTCTTATTCGGATGTATTTCACATTTATCTCAATTGACGAAAAAAAATTATATCCCTTGACTGTTTCAAACTATTTTCATGTATACTATCTTTAAATGTACATTAGTATTTCAACACGTGTAATAAATATAATTAAAATTTAAAATATTTATGTATATAAATAAATATTATATTTAAATATATAAATTATATTTTAAATTTATGATAAATAATTTATATTGTAATACAAAATCATTTTATTTATTGATAATTTATTTTGA